AAACTATCTCCATGAGGACTGAGAATATGTTTGTCTTTTTCACCATTCTACCTCCAGTACTTAGCAGTAAGTAACCCAGGGTCAGTATTCCAATGTTGCTGGATACCTTCTGGTTCACATTATTCCCACTCTGACACATCTGCAGTTTGCTGCCTATGACTGGTCCTACGATATCAATAGGCAGTGTATTTCAGCTCATTCAGCATGAGTTGCACACCTATCCAGTGCTTCTCTGAAAATAATGTTGTGCTCATGGCATTCATGCTCCATTATCTCTTAAATTGCATCAACACAAACTATAAGAAATTGTGCACACATCCTTTGATATGAGCTCCTGGATTTTAGTAAGCAGTTTCATTGCCAGAATTTGCTGCCTCTCTCCATTACTGACCTGCTAAATATGTCTCCTTCCTCTTGACCTACTCTATGTCATTTCTTAGAGGTATAGCAGAAAAGACATTATAGCATGGTGGTTAAGAATCCACATGTTAGAGTCAAATGGCTCCCACTTCAGAACCCAACTCTGCCACTGAGTAAATAGGTGACCCTGGGAAAGTTATTCAGTTTCTATTAAATTTCTGGCTGTGTAAACGAGGCATGATAGTGTCTATGGTACAGGATTACTTTGAAGATTAAGTAACATATGTATATGTATAATAAACGATTCTCATTGTGTTCAGTAAACTACAATAGATTTATAAGTAAGGGATATAGTTGAAGACACTGAGTGTCTGCCCCAGGTAATATATTTCTCTGGAAATTATTCAACCATCCTAAGTTATTTAAAGCAGCATACAAAAACTGTTTCCTATATATTCTTATTTAAATACCTAACCTTTTTTGGGTGACACTCCCCTAAGATGGCCAACACCTTGAGGGATTCCTGAATTTGACCCTCTACACTCCTCTCACAGGCACTTACACCTGTTCCCTGATCAGATACAAGTTAATCAAGCTGAGCTTTAATGCTGTTTCAGCAGTAGCCACCATTTCACATAGTCTTACGTGTAAGATATTTTGCAACTGAAGCTCCAAGTGAATGCCCAAGGAATCAATTTTATAAATGGAAAATAGATTTATTGTGTTTGTTTGAAGAGATGCCTTGCAGTGTGGCTCTTACCACATTCCTCTAGAGAGGAGCAGATTTGGGAATACTTAACCAACCAAATAGTGGTATATGGTGCTCAGAAGAAGTATTCCTTCCCAAGCAGCACAGACTGCAATGTGTTTCCTTTCGGTTGTCGTGACAATCAGCTGCATACCGATTATAATTGGGGGTTTGTAAACAGCCAGAAGATTCCCTTGGTGAGAGCAATTACTAGTATATTCCCTTTAACACACTACAGGGCAAACACTTTCTCTAAAACATGCTGTGTGCTGAGTGCAAAGTAGATTTACTTTACTAATGCTGGAGGAAAACCTTCAAAACCAAGGCAAGGGATCTTGAGGGGACAGAAACATGAGAAGGCTAACATAAGAGCAGAGAACATAAAAAATACCATGGAATATTATCAATCAGGGGAAGAACTGATTTGGCCCATCCAAATAAACATGCATGGAAGTTGTTAAGAGCATCAATTTGGAGTTGGTTTTGTATTTGTCCTACTACAATCCCTGTGTTCCTTTGAGCATGAAAACTCGCCATGCGAAGGCTCAATTTCTTCTTCTGAAAAGTGAGAATGATAATGCTTACCTAATAAGGTTATTCTAAAAATCAAATTACAAAACAGTAGACACCCCCAAAATAGTACAACTGGTGAACCCATATCCCCTTGGAATTAACCATTACCTATAAAGATAGATAATGGCTTCCTACTGAGAGGACCTGTAGTTCTCTGCTTGGGGGTTTTATTTAAAAAATAAAATAAAATAAAATAAAATAAAATATATATATATATATATATATTAGAGAGAGAAAGGGAGAGGGAAAGAGAGACAGAAACATCAACGATGAGAGAGAATAATTGATTTGGCTGCTTCCTACCCGCCTTACCCCCTCTCTCCCCCCACTGGGGATCAATCCTGCAACCCAGGCATGTGTGGAACTATGGTCTCCTGGTTCATAGGTTATCTCTCAACCACTGAGTTACTCTGGCTGGGCATGCCGGGGGAATTTTCTCATCCCAGGTACATGGGGTGGGAAGAAAGTGCCAGGGAGTTAACACTTCCACAACAGACCTTAGCCAATGATGCAGAAAATATAGTGATGGATACCCATTTCCTCATTCCTCTCACAGGACAGCTCTGAGGCTTGTTCCACTCTGCCTCTCATGGGTCTCCTGTGGGTTTGAGCCCCGTTTGTCCCTGTGGGAACCTGCTCAGTAGTGCACCTGCATTGGCTTCTGTCACTTCCCTGTCTCACGGTCCTACTTCCTAGTGGGAGCTCCTTGGGATTACCTCCAAAATAAGCCTCTGGCACTCAAAATCTTGATCAGGATAAAGTCTAACCTAACACAATACTCAACAGGCTTAATAATTTGGACACTTGGGTTTACAGTAAAATGTTCAATTCATTAACCAAGCCTTGTCTATTCAGCTTCCTTTCAACCCCTTCTATTCCATCCCACAGCTACTGCCTCCACTGAGGCTCTTCTTGCTTATTTGTTTTTTCTGCACCACAGTCTCTGATCGACCTCCATGCTTCCAGTACCTCTACCATCTAATCCATCACCCACTTACTACCAAAGTTATCCTAAAATACAGTTTTGCTAATGCCAATCCCTTGCTGTTTTAAAGACTTCAGTGGTGCTCATTGCCTCCATGATTATGTGATATCCTATATAATAAAAGAGTAATATGCAAATCTACCAAACAGTGGAACAACCGGTTGCTATGATGCACATTGACCACCAGGGGGAAGACGCTCAACACAGGAGCTGCCCTGTGGTCAGTGTGCTCAGCCACAAACCAGGCTGAAGGCTGGCCAACGCAGCAGCAGTGGCAGGAGCCTCTCCTGCTTCTGCTGCAGCACTAAGTATGTCTGGCTTTGGCTTAGGCCCTCTCCCCATGGGCATTAGTAACTATCCTGAGAGGGCTCCTGGACTGCTAAAGGCACAGGCCAGGCTGAGGGATCGCCCCCACTCCCTGCAGTGTATGAATGTAGTGCACCGAGCCTCTAGTATTTTATAACATGGTATGTAAAATCCTCAAAATATGGTTTTAAACAACCTTCCCACTTCATCTCCATTGATTGCTACACACAGGCAATAACTCAGCTCACACAGAAAAAGCCAGTGTTGTGTCAAAACCCTATTGCTGTCACCTTTTGTTGTGTTTGAATGTACATGTGATCTTCCCTGTCTGAAGCATTGGACTCAGCCTTCGTGGTCAGCTCAAATGCTCCCTCCTCCATGAAGACTTCACTCCCTGGGCAAGTCAGTGGTTTTCCCCTCTGGGTTCCCACTATAGCATCTGTATTCACTGACTCATTTGTTCACATAACAGGCATTTTCTGAGCATATTCTACTATAAACCAATCATGCTCTAAGTTTCAGGGAAACCATGCTGGATAAAAGGCAGAAAAATGCACGAAGATCACAGATGGGAAAAGAAAATAGACCTTATCAGGAAATCATATAAAAGTTTGTTACTCACTGCCATGAGTTTACCATAAAGGATGCTAACCCAACCTGGGGGTTGCAGAGCCTTCCTCAAGGAATGGGCACTTGAGGTGAGAGTGGAGTAGGAGTTATCGCCAGATGAAGGACATGGAACATAGATCCCAGGCCTGGGGACAACTGGAGTTAGGAGGAAACACAATACATGTACTCTTTGAGGAATAGAAGGCCAGGGTGTTTAAAGCCTAGAAGCATCAGGGAAATGGAGAGAGAAGAGACACACCATTCATTAGGAGTGTCTGTTTGTGGGCTGTGTCATCCCTGCCTCACGCTCCCAGAATGAGCTCCTCCAAAGTAAGGACCATGTGTCACTGAAAATCATACCCACCCAGCACTTAGCACAATGCAATGAACAAAATGAATGTATCCACTTGATGGATGAGAGTTGAGGTTCGGAAATGTTGAATGCCTCACCTAAGATCCCAAGGCTGGCAGAGGCTACACAGTAACTGGAATATGCATCTACCATTCCTCAAGTATGTTTCTTATAAACTGGCACAAAGCAATCCTCCAACTTTGTTTCGTTGAAAACCCAAGTTTTTCTGAGAGTACTTTTTCGAAGGGCTCTGTAACAAAAATAAAGCATAAAGCCAGTTACTGGTGTGTTTGTGTGTGTGTGTGTGTGTGTGTGTGTGTGTGTGTGTATGTGGGAGGGGGAGTGAGAGAACGACGGGGAGGGAGAGCACAGGACGCTTTTTATAATGGCCCGAGATGATGAGGGGGTGGGGGTGGGGGGTGAGAATAAGACGCTCTTAGTGATGCTGAGTAAAGACCACCCTCACTGACCCTGGATGTCCTGAGCGAAATGACTGAGTTTGAACTCTTCACATGGGTGAGTGGGATCTCTTGCCTCCCGCTTCCAGAACCTCTCTGCACTTCCAGCCAGGACCGGTGGTGTGGGAAACAGCCCAATTTCCCGTCTCTCCCGCAGATCCCTGGGAGAGGAGGCAACCTCCTTGCGGGAGGCATCCTCCAGGCCCAGACATTCATCTCTGTCCATTTCAAGGCCCCGAGCCTGAGCCGTATATAACAAAGTACTGCGCCTTCAACGAAGGACACGGTGGCTTTTCTGCGTGTTTTATTCACGAATCTTGGGGGGGCGGGAAATCTGGCTCTGGGGCTGCGATCAAGATCCTGATTTGAGACTGGTTCAGAAATTGGAGTTGAGACTTCGTTTGGCAGGAAAGTAAGGAGGTGAGCAGGTGCGGGCGCAGCTCTTGTGAGGATTACGGCGGAGGCTGTGGACCGCGGCGCCGCTCGCGGGGGCTGCAGCCATTGCACAACCGAGCACCCCACATTCAACAGGAGGGACCGCGGGAGCGGACCTCCGAGACCCCGCAGCCGCCGCAGCCCGCGCCCTCGCGCCCCTGCGCCCCCCGCACCATGGCCAAGGAAGGCGCGGAAAAGGCGGAAGAGACGGAGCAAATGATCGAGAAGGAGACAGGCAAGGAGCCTGCGGAGGGCGGCGGCGGCTCGCACCGACTCGGGGACACCCAGGAGATGCGCGCCGTGGTGCTCGCAGGCTTCGGGGGGCTCAACAAGCTGCGGGTCTCCAGGAAGGCCATGCCCGAGCCGCAGGACGGCGAGCTCAAGATCCGCGTCAAAGCCTGGTCCAGTATCCGCGCCTTTCTCGCTTTCTCTCTTTGCGCGCTCGGCGCTCCCGGGAGGCTGTGGCGGAGCATAGTGGGGCCGGAGACCGGGGGGCCCTGCCGCGGGCGCCCCATTCCGCTCCCTGACCCTGGTCTCAGAGTCTTTCCGCGGCCAACCGCCGCTGATGCTGGGGAGGATGCTGAGAGGTGGCCCTTCTCCTCCCCAAGCCAGATCCAGGGGTGACCAGGGGAGACTGAGCTCCCGGGAGGGGACGCGAGGGTGGATGGTGGCATCCGGCACTCTGGGTCTTTCGCTGCGGGGGAAGCAGCCAGGATAGTGTGTTTGATGGTTAACATGGTTTAAAAAATAACCGTAACCGTCGGCTTACTGTGCACCAGCTATCGTTTTTAAGTTTTATGTGAGCAATTCCATTTAATACTTCCTGGGACCCAGTGAGTTAGGTGCTTTCAGCACCTCCCGTTACAGGTGCGGAAACCAGGAGAGAGAAAGAGAGAGAGAGAGAGAGAGAGAGAGAGAGAGAGAGAGAGAGAGAGAGAGAGAGAGAGAGAGAGAGAGAGAGATATTTGCTGGAGATCATCCTGCCTCCACTAAGTGCCATGGCCAGGGTTTGGTCATTGATCTTTGTCATCTCTATGTGACCTGCTGATGGGGCTGCTGACATGTGTCCTTTCTCCTGCTCCTACACACTTCCCTCCTTGAAGCCTGGGATGGGAATAGGAACTGGGAAGCTAGGGGAAAGGAACTGGGAAGCCAGAGTTAGGTACCAGGCGTCTAAGCTTGGTGGTAGTGGTGCTGGTATGTGTGTGGGGAGGGCGGAGGGAAGAGGGCATTCAAGCCTGAAGCCTAAGCCTCCCTCTTCCCCCGCTAGCATCTTCTGCCTGTCTCTGAGAGGGGAAAATCCCAAACCTGATTAATCTTCCCTGAACGCCCGCTCCTGTCTTGGATGGACTCATCAATCTGAGTGACCTTTCCTTCCCCACTCCTCCTGGGGGAACTTCCTTGGAACCAAGGGGATACCAAGTGGTGTGTTTAAGACTCTGGTTGCTGTCACTATAGGATCCTTCCGCTGCAGTTCTGGGGGGAGGGCTCACCTGGAATGTTTCCTGGCCCCAACCAGTTCCATATGCAGCAGCCTGGGAAGCTCTCAGGGGAACTTGCTGTTAGCACAGTCAGATGGCATATCCCTTCCCATCTACTAGTGTGTGTTTTAAATCCCGCAACAGGCACTGCTTCTTAACACAGCAGCCAGCTCAACCGTTCCCAGAACCTGGGACCATGTCTACAGGCAAATAAATAAATAAATAAATAAATAACTAGGCAAAGGAGATTCCCCTGCCTTGCTATGTGGAGAGCAGACACAGGTTTCATTTGCCAGACTGGCAGGCAGCTGGTGAGAGAAGCAGGGACTGGTCTCTGGCTAGCTCTGCATATATGTTGCTGGTCATGCCTGATTCTCAACAGAACTCTTGGGCTGGGCCTCTCCCTGGGGAATTCAGGGCAAGGAAAGCGGCTTTTGCAAACTGGGGCTTCTATATAGTTCTGTTTTGTTAACTCTTAACTCGACCAAACTGATTGATCCCTGAAGACAAAGCTTATGTCTCACCTTTTCACAGAGAAATCTCCAGTGCATGGCACAGTACATCCTAAATAAGTTATCGTAGAATGAAAGGATAGAGGGGAAAAAAAATGCTTGGAGGGGGGGTTGTTGCATCATTACTTTTCTTCACTTGATGATGGAAGAATGTCTGTCTAGTAAGATTAAAATCATGTGTATTGATAATTCACCTTCCATAACCACCAATCAAAAATATGTTGTGTGTGTGTGTGTGTGTGTGTGTGTGTGTGCGCGCGCGCGCGCGCGCACGGGCGCATAGGTATAATTTATGACTCTCCATCCAAATTGAGATTGGTTCTAGGAATTCGTGTATGTATCCAGGGAGTGAAAACGTTGAAGCTCCTTTTTGAAGAAAAGGCTGTCATCTGTAGTGTCAATAGGTCTGGGTTCTCCAGCCTTATGCTAAGTGCATAAACACTGACAGGCGCTGAAGCATTTTGAGATAATAAATGTCAAGATGAAAGCTAGGAGATTGATTTTTCAAAGCCAGAAACACAATCCTGTTCTTCATTAGAGCTGTATGCATGTGTGTACACACACACACACACACACACGGTAACCACTGCAGATCCTTCACCCCAGTTGCTCAGAAAGCCAGCCAGGGCTGGGGGGCCATTGGAATACAGAATTGCAAAGGCCCCAGATTGATTTCCATTTCACCAAGCTGGAAGCAGAGTTTTGCATGGGGGGGTGGGAATAGGTTTTTGAGATTGCCTGCTGGGCCTTTCCTCCTTTACTGGGCTGGGATTGGCTGGCCAAAGATGCTCATTGATTATAAGTTTAGCCTTGAGAGCCAAGATGACTCATTCTGTGTTTTTATGAATCAGTGGATGGCCTCCTGGTTGAAGGTCCCCCTTTTATCTGCTCTCTATTTTTAATGGATAAGCTTTATGCTTGGAAATAAAGCCTCGTTCATCTGAACTAGTATTCAGACCTGGTATTCAGAATGAAGGTCCAAGTTGGTTTCTGTATAAATTTGATGGGAATGGAAGAGAAGGGGTGGGAGAAATACATATTATATCTCACTTACACCCTCTCACTTATGGCCCAATGAGATAGGTATTAATGGTAGAGGAAATTGGGACTTGGAGATGTTGAGTAATTTGCCAAAAAAAAAATCACACAGATAGTAGAGTTAGGATTTGAATCCTGGTCTGTCTCTCCTGTTATTTTCCTTTTATTTTATCTCTCTCCACGGTAAAGCCACGAGAAATGTGATTTACTTCTCCTGACCTCTGGCATGTAAGCTTGCTTTCCCTTTTTCCGTGAATATAGCTCCTTTGATCTTTTTATGTCTGGCTTAAGGGAATGCTCTGTGGCTGTTTTCAGAGCAAAATGGCTTTCCTCTAAAGTAGAGACATGTGGTCAAATACAGCTCAAAAAGAACCAACTCAAGGAGCGTGGGGTAGGAGGTATAGGAGAGTTTTCTGTCTAAATTGTTACAAGAACATTAGCTCTGATGGGGAACTCTTTTTATCAACCATTCATTGAACAAGCTACATGGCAAGTGATTTAAGCACCAAACCGAAGCAGCACATTGCCTTTGGAGGAAGATGGGCCTGAACGGAAGGCAAAGCCCCACCACCTTCTATCTGTGGACCAATCTCTTACCTCCTCTGAGCTTTCCATGCCTCGACTACAAAATGGGGATAATAAGATGGATTTCATGGTATTGTCAGAATCAGATGCAGGAAAGAGACTGACCCACAGTTGGCACTAAAGAACCGTAGCTATTGTGACTGTTGTCATTTCTTGGTGCCTTGATAACTTAGAGGCTATCATTTTAATCATGTATATAATTAGGCAACATCATGTCACATCTGCTTAATGATTAAGAGCAAGATCTTCCTAGACACGAGTCCCAGCTCTGTCACTTGCTAACAGGGTGTCTTAGGACTGGTCTCTGGAAGCAGAGCCTGTGACTAGGATGTTTTTTAAGTGGCTGATTGAGAATGGGAGCAAGAGGATCAGGGTAGGGAAAGAAGCTAAGTAAAGATTTGGTTTCATCTGGATCCCATTAGGAGTTCTCCAGCATGAATTGTACCACAGAGCTAATCTGACCTAGAGAGCTAATCTGACCTAGAAGCAACAGGAGAAGCATTTTGTACCCTCCACTGCTCGTCCTTCCCACTTTCTTCAGTTGGTTTTGGACTGCGGGCTACTTCCTGAGTCAGGGGTATCCTTTCAAGTAGAGGTGGCTTCTGTTTGACCAAGGGCAGTCCCCCTTGGAAGTGGGGAAGCGGGGAAGAGGACTGCTCTGAGGGAGCAACCAGCACTCCCAGCAGGTGGATGGGTGCACTGCCTAGTGAAGGGAGTGGGGTGAAGCACAGACTGCGTGCCCTCTACACTGATGGTTAACCTTGAACAGGTTGCTTACTCCTCTAAACGTGAGTTTTCTATAAAATGGAGATAAACATAGCACCTTCCTTTATAGTGTTGTAATGGAGTTTAAATGAGATACTATGCATAAAGATCTTTCTGATGATGCCTGGCACATAGCAAGTGGTCAATAAATGATAGCAATTAATATCTCAACAATTATTTTTGGTTTCCATAGGCACCATCTATAGTTTATCATTCACATTGGAACTCTTTTGAAAGGGGCGCTAAAATAATTGTTCTGGGACTACAGGAGCATGGTCCCTCCTAACTGATAAGGATCGGATCGATGCCTTTGTTCTGAGCAGTCTTGTCACAGTAGAGCTTCTCTGGGGAAGGAGCTGGTAGGATCTTGGGCGGAGGGTCCCAGGTGGGGCTTCAGGAATGTTTTTAAGTGGCCATTAACAAGCCTTGTCTGGTTTGTGGCGCAAATTGGCTTGTGGTGGAAAGGCACTAATGGATTGGGGACGTTTATTTTCCCAGACTGATTTACAGCAAGAGGCTTCATGAAACCGCTGGAATGAGACCAATTGGATGAAAAATGGTTCCAGCCAGTCATGGCTCCGTTGGTTGATCTGAAAATGGGCTGAGGGCAGCCCACGCTAGAGGAAAGCCAACAGATTGATGGGACCCTATATATCATGAGGGTAAATTATATTGGAGATACGAGAAAGAACTAACATTTATTGAACCCTTGTTATGAGCCAGGAACTGAATTGCCTGTTATATACTCTTGGTTTCATTTTATCCTAATGGCAACTCCATAAGACCGGTACTGCTATCTCCATTTTAAAGATGGGGAACTGCCATTCAGAGGCATGTCAAGATTGCTAACTACTAGGTGGACAAGTGGCATGATAATCCAAGTCTGCCTTGTTCCTGGCTGCTTTACATTTGGGAATTGGAAAATCAGAGACAGTGACAAAGGCGAGAGAGAGAGAGAGAGAGAGAGAGAGAGAGAGAGAGAGAGAGAGAGAGAGAGAGAGAGAACACAGACACAAAGGC